TGCGGGTCAGAGCATTAGACGGATTGCTTTCCAGAATTTATTGTTTATTTATTGTCTACTTATTGTCTATTTATTGTCTATATAATGTCTGTTATTTTCTAAAAGTAAGGGTATTGTGGTCAATGAGGTGTAGTTGAGTCTTATGCTAGCCTTCGGTCCTAGTTTTGGAAAATCAGTACGTTTTGCTCCTACTTGTTGAAATCTCCCTATAGGGTTCTACACTACCTAAAAGGGAGTCCAGGACAAGGAATAGTATTCAGGAAAGGTGGGCAAGCAATTATCTGTCCAAGCCATGCCTTCACTGATGCAGATTATGCTGGCTCTCTCGTTGACCGCCGATCAACTACTGGTTTCTGTGTTTTCCTGGCAGGAAACCTTATGACATGGAGAAGCAAAAAACAGAATGTTGTGGCACGATCATCTGCTGAATCTGAGCTAAGAGCCCTTGCCCATGGCTTGTGTGAACTTCTATGGATCAGAATTATTCTCTCAGATTTACAAATCAGGTGGAAAGGACCAATGGAATTGAGGTGTGATAACAAATCAGCAATCAGCATAGCTCTTAATCCAGTCCAACATGATCGGACCAAGCATATTGAGATTGATCGACGCTTCATCAAAGAAAAGGTTGAAGGAGGTTTGATTGAACTAAGCTACACTCCCTCACAGGATCAAGTTGCAGATGTGTTTACCAAACCTCTGCACAGTCCTAGGTTTCAGAGTCTTATTGTCAAGCTAGGCATGAAGGATATCTACAAACCTAGCTTGAGGGGGAGTGTTGATAAAACGAAGAGACATCATTAATCTAAGATTTATTTTCCTTATTGTTACTGAAGGATATCTAAGATTTATTTTCCTTATTAATCTAAGAGTCTTATTGTTGCAAATGTGTTTACCAAAACTCCGCCATGATATCATTTTTTTGGTATCATGCCTGTCCCAGGATAAAGGAGGAGGGTGTTGTGGTAAGCGTGTGACGGCCAACAGTATCATCTAGTCACATCACATGACATGAATCGAAATATGAATATCGCTAATGCTAGGTCGTCACCCGTAAGTGACGCGTCATCCCTCCGCCTGGGGGTGGTGTCAAATATGCAAGGGCGCGCTACACTTCATAGACCTGGGTGTGGTGATAAGAATGCTAAGGTTGCTAGGTCGCCGCCCGGAAGAGGCGCGTCATCCCATTGCCTGGGGATGATGTCAAATATGCAATGGCATGGTGGGGTCCGAGATGGGGCTAATAACGGAAGGTGGAGTGCTAGATTGCGTTTTGAGACATGGAATGTTGGGTCTCTTGTAGGCAAATCTTCCGAGGTAGTCGAGGTTATGAGGAGAAGGAATATCAGCATTATGTGTGCAAGCACGCGAGATTAATCCCGGAGGTTTTAAGTTGTGGTATTCGGGGAGAGATAAGACTAGAAATGGGGTAGGCATTATTGTGGCGCGTGACTATTTGAGGATGTGGTAGAACTGTAGAAGTCTTCAAGAAGAACGATCGCGTCATGAGCATTAAATTGGTGATAAGGGGTGAGATTGTGTCTATGGTAAGTGCCTATGCACCACAAGTGGGATTGGATGCATCTACAACTCAACAGTTCCGGGAAGATCTTGAAGACGTGGTGCGACGAGTGCCAAGGAGAGAAAAGTTGATCATAGGAGGTGACCTCAACGGGCATGTGGGCTCGAGTCGTGATGGCTTTGAGAGTATTCATGGCGGACATGGTTTTGGCACTAGGAATGAGGCAGGAAAGAACATTTTGGATTTTGCCTTGACGTATGAGTTGGCTATAATGAACACTTGGTTTAAGAAAAGAGACTCTCACCTTGTAACCTATAAAAGTGGAGCTAATAGTACCCCAATTGACTACTTCTTAGTACGGACCACTTGGAGAACTAACAAAAAATGATTGTAAGGTTATTCCAGGTGAGAGTGTTGTCACTCCGCATAGGATGCTTGTGCTTGACTTTCGAGGTAAGAACCATAGAAGACAAGTTAAACAACAAGTGGAGCCAAAGATAAAGTGGTGGAGGCTTGAGGGAGATCTTCAACAAAGCTTTACACACAAAATGGTCGGTGAAGATGTATGGCGTATTGATAATGAAACACATGTGGATGATGTGTGGTTATCAATGGAGTTGACCATTAACAAAGTGGCAAAGGAGGTACTTGGAGAATCTAAAGGATGTCTGCCACCTAAAAAGGACACATCTTGGTGGAATGATGAGGTGAAACAAGCCATAAGGAACAAAAAAGATTGCTACAAAAAGTTGGGGACAAATTGGAGTGACGAGAACATAGAAGCATACAAGGAGGCTATACGACAAGCAAAGAAAGCCGTAAGGGAAGCACGAGGGAAAGTGAACAAGGAGTTATATGAAAACTTGGACTCTAAGGAAGGAGAACTATATATTTATAGACTTGCTCGTCTTCATGATCGCAGGACTCAAGATATTGCAAAAGTTAAGTGTGTGAAGGATGTCGATAAGAGGATATTAATGGACGACGGAGAGATAAAAGAGAGGTGGAGGTCATACTTTGATACACTATTCAATGGGAACAAAATGCAAGATATCGGTGATTTGTCCCTACCAGATTGTATGGTAAATCGTGATTTTGTGAGAAGGATCAAACAACGGAAGTTAAAGAAGCTCTGAGGAAGATGGGACGGAAGAAAGCAATGGGGCCAGATGGCATATTCGATTGAGGCTTGGAGAAGTTTGGGAGAGAGAGGCGTCGAGTGGTTAACAAGTTTCTTCAACATGATTTAGAGAAACAACAAGATGCCAACGAGTTGGAGGAAGAGTACTCTTATCCCCTTTTTAAGAATAAAGGTGATGTACAAGAATGTGCCAACTATCGAGGGATTAAGCGTATGAGTCACACCATGAAACTTTGGGAGCGAGTGATTGAGCAAAGACTTCGAAGAACTGTGAAGATTTCAGAGAATCAATTCGGTTTTATGCCTGGTCGCTCAACAACTGAGGCCATTCATTGTCTTAGAAAAGATATGATAGAGACGCTCATAAGGATCTGCATTAGGATAGAGACGCTCATAAGGATCTGCATTTGGTGTTCATTGTCTTAGAAAAGGCATATGATAGGGTACCTCGAGAAGTTCTTTGGTGGGCCTTAACTAGGAAAGGCATATCACGCAAGTATATGAGCATCATCATGGATATGTATGAGGATTGTACTACAAGTGTCCGTACTAGTGTAGGGAAGACTGAAGAGTTCCCTATTACTATCGGAGTGCACCAAGGATCGGCCTTGAGCCCTTTCTTATTTGCCATAGTCATGGATGAACTTACGAAGTCAATTCAAGACGATATATCGTGGTGCATGATGTTTGCCGACGATATTGTATTGATTGATGAGACGCAATCAGGTCTTAAAGCAAAGTTGGAAGTATGGCGACAAACATTGGAGAATAAGGGTTTCAAACTAAGTCGGAGCAAGACAGAGTACATGGAGTGCAAGTTTGGTGGAGGTAGAAATAGTGGTAATAGCGGAATTACTCTGGATGGTAAGGAGATACCAGTCACCGATATGTTCCGTTACTTGGGCTCCATAATTCAGAAGGACGGTGAGTTAGATGGAGATGTATCCCATAGAATCAGAACATGGTGGATGAAGTGGAAGAGTGCGTCAGGATTTCTATGCGACTGAGGTATGCCGACTAGACTGAAGGGTAAATTTTATAGGACAACAATTAGTCCTGCATTACTGTATGGCGTAGAGTGTTGGGCGGTGAAACAATGTCACATTCAAAAGATGAGTGTGACAGAGATGCGCATGCTGCGCTGGATGTGTGGGCATACTAGGAAAGACCGCGTGAGGAATGAAACAATCAGACAAAGGGTGGGAGTAGCACCTATTGAAGATAAGATGCGGGAGTCGCGCCTACGATGGTTTGGTCATGTGCGTAGAAGATCGAGCGATGCACCTGTCAGATGAGTTGAGATGTGTGGAGAAGAGGTAGGGAAGAGAGGGAGATGAAGACCCAAACAAACGTGGGTTAGGGGAGTTCGAAGTGATATGCTTCTTCTGGGGTTGGATGAGGGCATGACTTTGAAGATAACTAAGTGGAGGGCGGGTATTCGCGTGAAGGAGTGATCTCGTATAATCTTTTTCCCTCATCTTTTTTTTCCTTGTTTTTTATCCTTATATATATAAGCATTATTTGTAGCCTTTTTATTTTATCATTTTTATGTATATTCATCTCTTTTTATATTATCTTTTTATAATAGTTTATCTTTTTTATCTTTATTTTCTTTCTTTTCCTTTTGGTTGTGATATCATGTATCGATTCATGTTAGCCGACCCCAATATCTTTTGGGACTAAGGCTTGGATGTTGTTGTTGTTGTATTGTTACTGTAATTATGCTTCAGGTTGTAATTAATAGTGGCTGTCTTTTCGGTTTATAAGCATTTATGTTTAGTATTTAGACAGTCACCTCAAGCTTCTGCCTGTATATATTGGCCTGTACTTCTTGTAAATGAAGCATTGAAGAATAATAATATACAGAAAACTTCAAAAAATAAATTGTATTAATAATAAGTTAAGCTATTTATTAGTTTAATTTAAGTAATCAATAAAATAGAATAAAAACCTAAGTTATTTAGCGTGCCTGCTTTGGAAGCGAACAAACATCACACGATACGGGTAGAGGTCAACTTTCGACGCAAGAGAGTAGCCCGTCACCCGGCGAGTCGTGACTTGAGGTTGATGCCCTATGGCCGTCACCAGTCAAACCGTCAAAGCAACTCTTCTTTTGTCGTTTATTTTTAAAATAATTTAAAATCTTTGTTAAATGTATTTCATGTTCAAAACATTTTAGTTTATTTTTAAATATTAATTTAGTAAATGTGACTATTATTTTAGTTTTTGAATATATAATTTGATAAATATTCTGCATCATGAGATCACATATTCGTATGTATGCATGCCAATTGTCTTCAGCTGATCGCCACTATCAATTTTTCCTCTTAATCAAAGGTTAGGTCTTCCCTGATGTAAACCCAACAGTCTTGGAACAATTGAAAAATGCAGACTGTATCATTTTTGCCATGGGGTCACTCTTTACTTCCATCTGTCCCTCTCTGGTAATTTTAAGTTTGTTTTTCTTAGATAAGAATCATAAGATGCAACTTTTTACTATAACTGTTCTTGTCCTTTAATATACATTGTTTCATTTGTCATGGATATAGAAATACTGTGCTTCAAGAATTTCAATTTTACAGATTTATTTACATGCCTAGGTTTTGCTTGGAGTTGGGGAAATCATCTCTTCTCGGTCATGCCCTAAGGTAACTTGCTCTTCTCCATTACTTGCATAATGTAGAGCCGTAGACACAAAAGATTAAGTAAGAAAACAATTAAGTGGATGATAGTGTGTAAGAACCTTTAGCCCTTGTGAGGGTGAATGACACATCTTTAATGCTTACCTTGTTTTAGCCAGGTTTTTGTATATTACCAAAGTAATCTAACGTATGAAAATGGGATAATGTTGAAGTAATTTGATTATCTTGAGTTTCATATGTATTGTAAGATTACATGGGTAGTATTTTTTGTTTCCCTAAATAGGAGTAGTATGTGCTTTAATGCATTATCATGCATTAAAAAGAAGGTGGTATGATCTCAATAGTCAGAATGGTTTCAGGATGACAATATTTGCTCTTATTCATATAAAAAAAGTAAAAATTCACATCAATAATCTTACCTATGGGCGTTCTTCTAATATTAATCCCATATATGTATAATTCCTAATAATCTCAGCTTGGAGAGTATCCTTCTCAATATAATCTCCGAGGTAATCTAGAACTTGTTTGACAGGTAAAGCCTTTTAGCCTCTCACTTCTACCGGATGGCTCTGCTGGCTTTTCTATTCTTGGCTATGAATGGAAAAAAACTCCGGCTACTCCCGTGCTCTGGGCTCCAGCTATCTCCCCTCCTCTTATCTTTTCCCCAGTCTCATCCTCCTGTTGCTCCCCTCTGGGAGTCTTTTGCTCAACCGTATGTTCGGATTGAACTTTTTAGCTCTCTTAATTCAAAAGAATAAGAAGCCTATGAGGAGATATGGTGTAAATAAAACAGCTTGCGGCCAACCTAAGAGAGGCAGAGATAGGGCCGGCGAACAAAACTCGTTCTCTTTTCTTCCTGGTTCCAAAGCAGTAAGTAACCCCCAGGCCACTAGTAAGGATTCAATAGCAGATCCGATTAATTCTTTTTCGTGTCCATCCATCTCAGCAAATCTGGTCCCATACCTCCAAGTTTTTATCGAAATTGAAGGGGATGTGTCGGGTTTGTATTTCAACATCAAAATTTGGACATGAATTCATGAATAAATCATAAAATAATACCTATGGGCTATGGTTAATAAAATATCAATGAAATTAGAAAGAAGAGATACTAAGAACTGATGAGCAGCCGTGGAAAAGGTAAAACCGTAAAAGAAAAAGGACGAAAAAAGAAGAGGATAAATAAGTTGGAGGGGAAAGTAGGAGCTTGAGAGGAGAAAAGAAAAACAAAAAAGAAAAGAGAAAGTCAAAAGGAAGAAGACGACCGCGCAGCAAAAAGAAGAGAAAAAAAGGGGAAAAAAGAAAATAAAAAAAGGAGAAAAGAAATAAAAGGAAAACAAAAAAATTAGGAAGTCCAATTTAAACAAGACACCTGGCCAGATGACCAGCTGAACTGGTTTATTCAGGTCGTCAGGTTGTTTTTGGAAGCTACCCTATATAATTGGTATTATATTGGAATTATGCATATTTGAGATTATTATGAGAAGACCCTCGATAGATGGGATAATTCATGTGAATTTTTCCTAAAAACATTGTACTCCTATTTTGGGAACCCATCTTGTTTTTACTCCCATTTAAGACAAGTTCTTTAATATTGAAGACTATTTTGAGTTTTGCACTTAACAATAGTGATAAGAGTCAAATTGGACATTATGGTTATTTGCAATTCTTATATTGGCCACTAAGGTTTCAAATGGACCAAATCGAACACTATAGTTACTTGTGAATCTCATATTGGCCACCAAAATTTCATAATTCGTAGTTTTTGGACACTCACTTATGATTCTCTTCTTCCGTTAATAAAAATCGCCAATCTTATTTTTCTTTTCCTTTTTGGTGTTAATACAACAACAACAACATCCAAGCTTTGATCCCAAAAGAATTTGGTGTCGGCTAACATGAATCCATCTATGATAGCGATGTCAAACAAAGAAGACGGACAAGAAAGGAAAGAAAAAAAGTAAGATAAAACGAATAAAATAAAGATAAATAAACATAAGATAACTATAACACAAGAATATAAGAAAAGATGAAAGATAAAAAATAGAAGAGCATAAAAAGCTGAATAAAAGAGAATATGAACAAGAAAGAGAAAAAAATTAAGATAAAATGAATAAAATAAAGATAAATAAATATAAGATAACAATAACACAAGAATATAAAAAGATAAAAGATAAAAAATAAAAGAGAATAAAAAAGCTAAAAGATAAAAATAACATAAGAATATAAAAAGATAAGGAAGATAAACGATAAAAGAAAAAAGAGAGGAAAGGTAGAAAAGACATCAATCGTCCACACAGATGTGCGCCCTCCACTTTGCTCTCTCCAAAGCCATACTCTCATCCAACCCAAGAAGACGCATATCGGTTTTGATTCCTCTAATCCAAGTCTGTTTGGGTCTTCCCTCTCTCTCTTCTCTGCCTCTTCTCCCCACCCCTTAAGTCGTCTAACAGATGCATCACTCGGTCTTCTACGCACATGCCCAAACCACCGGAAACGAGACTCCTGCATCTTATCTTCTACAAGTGCTACTTCCACCTTTTGTCTTATTATCTTATTCGTCAAGTGGTCTTTCCTGGTATGTCCACACATCCAACGCAACATACGCATCTCTGTCACACTCATCTTTTGAATGTGGCATTGCTTCACCGCCTAACACTCTACGCCATACATTAATGCAGGCCTAATTGATGTTCGATAAAATTTATCTTTCAGTCTAGTCAGATAGAAATGCTGAAGCACTCTTCCATTTCGTCCACCCAGCCTGATTCTATGGCATACATCTCCATCTAATTCACCATCCTTCTGAATTATGGAGCCCAAGTAACGGAATATACCACACACCGGTATCTCCTTCCCATCAAGAGTAATCCCATTGTTGTTACTACTTCTACCTCCACCAAACTTGCACTCCACTCTGAATCCGTTGGTCTCCAATGTTTGTCGTTATACTTCCAACTTTACTTTAACACTTGATTGTGTCTCATCAATCAATACAATATCGTGGCAAACATCATGCACCGCTGTATATCTTCTTGAATTGACTTCGTAAGTACATCCATGACTATAACAAATAAGAAAAGACTCAGAGATATTGCATGTGAACATTAAATTTGATCCATTTGAAACTTTAGTGTCCTGTTTGAGATATACATGTAACCATAGTGTCCAATTCGATCGATTTGAAACCTTAGTGTCCAATATGAGATTTGCATGTAACCATAATGTCCAATTTGATCCTTATCCCCTTAACAATTTGATGCCACAAGTGGTATCATATTGATTACCTTAGGCAATTCTATTTCCTAAGGTATTCTTACATTCTATTTTCCACCACTTGTTTACATACTTTGTGAAATTCAAATCTCATACTTTAACCAATTGGGTCACAATATTGTGGAAACCCATCTCCACACTCAAGATGTCAAGGACTTGTGTACAAGATCTCATCCGTGGAAGTGACCAAGAGTATAGGAGAGAGAATCGTGTGAATCCAATGAAGCTATATGATTAAGGTGTGACTAACCTTGTCAAGACACACTATTAATTCTGTAAAATGTAATTTATTCAATAACCAAAAAACTCTTATAATATTGCAGTTCTAAAAAGTACTGGAAAGAAGAGTTGCAAAGCTAATTTTGAAATATATCAGAATAAATGTAGGAATATGATTTGGAATATTTTAGGAATATATTCTTGGATATTATTATGGCTTAATCTTCTGGTTAGAAATTTCTTGACTGGAACGCTGTCTGGCCACCTCCATTTGAGATCCTTTCGGTGAAATATTTCGATGAAATTTTGTGAGCGTGTTCTTCATGAAGTGCAGATTATGTCCACCAAATTCAACTTAAAATTCAATCGTGAAGTCAGTTAAACAAATTATTGAAAACACTGGGCCAACATATAGATAAAAAACGCAATGGTTTTAATAATTTAGTTAGCTAACTGCCCGAATGAATAGCTGAAATTTGGTGGAAATAATCCACACTTCATGGAGAACATGATCACAAAATTTCAACAAAATATTCTACCCAGAAGCACCTCAAATGGAGGTGTGGTTGGACGGCGTTTTGGTCAGGAAATTATAGACAAGAACATTTGTGATTATTATGCTATATACTCCCTTTGTCCCATAAAACTTTGTCAACTTTCATTTTTTTGGGATTAAACTTTGTCACTTTCCCTTTTAAGTAAAGAATTTGTGTTCCAGTTAATTCTCTCTTCTCTGCACAAACTTTATTAATCCCCATCCCGGTCAAACTTGGTCAACTTTTAAGGGACGAAGAGAGTAATCTTGTACGAATATTTTATCTTTATTATGTATATTCATAGCAACTTAAACCTTTAAATAAAAACACAAAATTATTCTCTCTTCAATACTACCTCTGTCCCTTAGAACTTTGCCAAAGTTGACCGGCACGGAGAATAATAAAGTTAAAACTGTGTGGTTGAGGTTTGTGCAGAGGAGAGAGGAATAACAGAAACCACAAAATAATTGATTAAAAGGGAAAGTGTCAAAGTTTTTTGGGACTCCCCAAAAAGAAAAGGTGGCAAAGTTTTAAGGGATGAAGGGAGTATTAGTCTATTTCATATCTCTGTTTCAAAATCTTATGAGGCCTGGGGCAATTCGTATAAAGATGCTAACTGGTTTTTAAAGAAGTTAGCTCACTAATTTCCATGCCACACCTTATGTCACCACCATAACCTGGTGGTGCGCCTGCCGTCGGCGACTAAGCAACCAAATTCGGATACCCAAAATCAATGCGAGTGAGTCACACGTGCCACCACAGTTAGGCACATGCTCATGACGTCTATTTGCCGAAATTGTCCATGTTAGACCCATTCCTGCTGAATCTAACTGATGTGTCCAGACTTTTGTGTTACCAGTCATATGAACCTCTAGTTGCTGTGGTGGGGTGTGTTGTTGGGCAATAATCTCTCACAGTGCTTCAGTCATGCTAGCAGATCTCTGCTGTACTAGGGGGATCTCCAATTTGGAGTACCTCTGGACCACTCCATCTGTATCAGGGCGGAGAATGTTTGTTTGTCGTCATTGTCTGGAATATCAGACTTCATGGTGTCTAACAACGTGCCATTCAATAATTGGCGGGCAGAATTTGATAGGCTGGGCATGGTTATACTCATGTCAGCGAGCTGTTCTTAGATGTCCACCTTGTGCTGGTTGACCCCATGCAGGAGGATTTTCCTCATCTCTGTTGCTGCAATTTTCTTCCACTATTGTGCCATATACCATATATGGGATACCAAATTGTCAAGAACACATGTAGAAGAAATCGTCCAACGGCATGAACGAGAGAATAGGTGTCATGTGAATTGATGTTAACTTGTTAAGTCTCAGTATCCAGCCTTGACAAGACACATACAATTATTTCTCCAAAAAGCTATTTATTCAATAATGAAAACCCTCTTATATACTACCTCCGTTCTTAGATAAATGCAACAGTCAACTTTTCACGTCTGCCAATGCACAACTTTGACCATTAGTATTTTTTATTCTCTTTTAGTAAAAAAAATAAAAAAATTCAAATTTTGAAAACTCAAGATGAAACAAATTTAACAATATATTTTTTAAAATAAATTATTAATACATTAATAAATAAAAAGTAGTCAATGTAGAACATGTGAATAGTGTAAAATTTCACATGTTGCATTTATTTAAGAACGAAGGTAATATAGAATATACAAGAATTCTAAAGAGTTGAGGACATAGAGTCGAAAAGCTAATAAACTAGAGTTGAGAAATATAATAAGAATAGGAAACAATAAAATCACCAAGTCTAGCCAATTCAGGTATTTGGCTATAGGTTTGGCCCCAAAAAAGTCCACTACAAAAGAATTTAAATTTTCAGTTTTACGAGCAAGTGATGATTGCATGTATATTTTGAGTCTTCCTGACTTCTTTCCATGTCCATATATAAATATATATATACATACATACATACATACATACATACACACACACACATATATATATATATATATATATATATATATATATATATATATAGGGAGCGGATCCGGTGAGAAGTGTTCGCTAAAAACTGTGAAGTTAAACTTACAGACTAAATATAGGAATTTTTAACCAATAAACCATAACTTATAGACCCCTCAAAATAATTACGAAAATGACACTGCAAAAAAATAATTAGGGAAACCTTGAATTTTTTTTGACGCAGTGGCATTTTCGTAATTATTATGGAGAGCTTTATAAGTTATGCTTTATTGATTATAAGTTCCTATATTTAGTTTATAAGTTTACTGCGTTGTAAGATCAAATGCAAATCCAAGGGCTAAGATTTCTTCTCACTTCTCATTTTAAGGGGCACTTCTCACATGATCTTTTCTCTCTCTATATATATATGTACCCACACACGTGTCTGAAAGTTATCTTCTTCATTTGTTGTGTAAATTCTCCATAGGTACTTATGTTGAATGGCACACATGACCGAGAAACTAGTGACTTTAATGCTTCGTGCTTTGTGACAGCCATCACAGATGCCCTAAATCGTACTCATGGAAACCATAACTGCCTTAAAAATCCTGTAAGTAGTTGTAGATGTATACATGTGTGTTAAATGCCCTACTATTTTGGTGATGCGAGCTCAAATCTTTTTTTCTAAGCCATTAGAAATGTATACATGTCTACACCGGCCATGTATCAAAATACAAACAAACACAATACAATATCAGAGTCACTTGAGCGCTCTATAAACCATTAGATCTTGGCATATCTCAATTAGTCTGGTCCTACCATCCACCATCTTGCAGGCATGTTAAGCCTTCTCACGGGTCACATGGCCCACATATAAATATATAATCCAACATATGAAGTCTGAAAAGGCCTTTGCTTTTCCCGCACAATTGCATCACACTAATCTGTGGTTTTGAAAATGCAGCCAAATAGATATATCAATACTCTTATGGTGCCAAGAGATGGTCAAATTCCAGTGGATGTTGGTCACCTCACTTCCCAAGGGATTTATAACGTGGTATGTGCTTCTGTTAACATTCCTTCCGCATGTGTGCAACAAGTCTACTTCTAATAGGATGTGATCATATTTGTGGATCAACTATCTCAACTCATCTAGTATTCACGTCCTAGAATTGTAAATTGAAAACATAGGATGTTGATGAATTTGGAATTCTATCTCAGTAGAATCACCATGGATAGTGTCATAGTGACCGTTAAATGGTTTAACAAAAAAATCATTTAAGATTTTTGTAACCAATGAGAGTGTGTAGGAGTGATTATCCAAAACATTTCTCTTGAGTTCATCTTTCAGTCGGAAGAAGGTTGCAACACGAACAGCACCTGGTATAGAATTTTACTATTGAAGTCACTGTTTGGGTGATAATGTTATTATTCCATTCAATCATTGAAGTCACTGTTTGGGTATATTTCCATAGTTGCCCTTCGTCTGATTTGGTTGTAAAAAAACTTGAATTCTTGCAGGTCACTGTTGAGTCATTCCGTGATCCAAAAGTGGGTACAATTTTTGATCCAAAATCACTTATCCAAGTGCTTGTGACATTGTTAATACAACATAAGGAAGAGTGATTGCTCATCTTGAGATTGAGAACCAAGCATTGGCCTGCATGTTTTTAGGGAAATGAAAGAACCCCCCACAATGATGTAATCTGACATGTACAATGTAGTTCTGAAATGACAAATGATATTTTATACTACGCATAATTATCAGTGTGTGTTTCATTTGCTTTTTTCCTAATTTGTCATGGGTATATTATTAACATTGTGAGACAATAATGTTGGGTAAAATATATGGTATAGCCTGTTGTATCGTGGGCACGGTACAATCGGATTTTTTGTTCTCTGCGCAACACATCTTGTCGTCTTTGGGAGACTTAGATCGCATTGTCTGGATCTCTTCTTCGTCCCTCGGAAGCTTCGCTCGCACTGTTTAGATATCTTCTCCAGTTCTCCCCCAGTTCGGGTGGTTCGTCACTTCCTCACCATAGGGATCACATCGCTAGCCTCTTGGATCTGCGATGATGGAGCTCTCAACCGAGGTTTATGGTGGATTTTGCGATTGACTGGGAAGAAAGGGCATCTCAACCGTAGATTTAGCTCGTGTTTCTCTTTTTCTTCCTTTTCTTACAGAGTATACTGTATACACATGAATTTACTCACGAGTATACACAAATAAAAAGTTGAGCATAGTATACATTTTGTAATTCATGTGTGCTCATTTGATATTGGTGTAAACTCATTTAAAATGTCATATTCATGCATATTTCAAAAGTATATTATTACATCAAATTTATATACTCCCCCGGTCCCAAATTGTAAGATACGTTTACTATTCACTTGATCAACATAAATCACTCTTAATCTTTTACTTTACATAGCAAAAGTTTATGAAATTTGAATTATTTTTTTCAGGGTTTGTAGCAGTTTTAATGTAGTTTCTGAATATGTAAACTTTATTTTCTAAAACTAATTTGAGTGTTGATAGAGATCGATTTGCTTTTTTCGTCGGTCAAACATCGTAAATCGTAAAGTATCTTACAAATTGGGATGGAAAGAGTATTAGATTCATACGGGTTCATTGTAGATGTTTTAAAAATAAAAAAAATAAAGTGAGGCATACGATATGAATCTGATATTAGGATGCTCATTATTAGTCTCTAACTATTTAGTAAAATAGATCCGATGCTCATTATAAGTGCATTCATGCTCACTGAGTGGAAGTCGCAAATTTCACTGAAATTACCAATATATCATTGGCTTTACAGTGCAATCCGTACGGCCGGTTGTATGGTATATGGCTCCATTAATGTTGAGCCATTCTATGAACACCCTTTGTTATGTTGGAGTTGACCGGTTGACCGGGTAGCAGGATAAGAAAGCACGCGGTAAAAGATAAAACGGGTAAAGTTGATCCTTATATTATTTCGAATTCATTACTAAAGCTCTTTTCTCCTTATACAAAAAATGAATATCACATAAGTACGTTTACTTTTAAAAAAAAGAATGATCTGGACTTATAACTAGTTTTTAACTTGTAATAACACCTTTTTTAAAAATTAGTTGTTTTGAATAATTAGTTTTTAACTTGTAATAACATGTTTTTATATTAAAACTTTTTAATTTTCTTTGAAAAAAATCAAAAAAATATAAATCAAAATGTGTGATCAATTTAAGAATGTCAAGGTCTATTTTTTTGCATTTTTGGAATTAGTTATATATTTTGTCTTATTCAAAGTCAATTTATACTCCCTCCGTCCCTTAAAACTTTGTCAACTTTCCTTTTTTGGATGTTCCACTAACTTTGCCACTTTCCCTTTTAAATAAAGAATTTGTGGTTCCAGTTAATTATCTCTCTTCTGCACAAACCTCAACCATACAATTTTTACTTTATTAATCTTCGTACCGGTCAAACTTGGAAAAGTTTTGAGAAACAGAGGGAGTATTACATTTTAATTTTATATTTTTTCCTTTCACATTTGTTTCATCTTTCTAATTTTATTATTTCAGCATGTTAAAATCATTTATTTATATTTGAACTTTTATTGAAAAAATTCCACTTTTGGTCCTATGACTATTATACCACTTCCACATTTAGTCCCTTACTTTCAGATTGTCCAAAATTTAGTCCGTGACCATTATCCCCTCACCACCCCTCGTCCTTTCAGCCAAAATTCTGGCAAATTTAATACATATTTTAGGTATGAAAAACCAAATTTAATGCAGGACTGATATGAAAAACCCAACCTGATACAAAATTTAATGCAAAGACTGATTATGAGGCTGAGAAGTGGACTAAATTTGCCGGAATTTTGGTCAGAAGGACGAGCGGTGGTGAGGGGATAATGGTCACGGACTAAATGTGGACAATCTGAAAGTAAGGGACTAAGAGTCCGTTTGGTAGCACGAAAATCGGCTGTTTTGGCTGATTCTGCTGAAATTTATGAAATTCTGGTTGAAGTGGCTGCGCTGCATTGGCTGATTCTGCTGATACAAGAAAAAAATATTTTTAAAATATATTTTATTAATAAAATAAAGAAAAAAAATATATGTAAAAATAGCTAAAATGATCATCTACAGTAACTTCAGCCAATACAGCCAGAAAAGTAACTCCAACCTTACTTTTTCGGCTTATTACACAATTCAGCGCGCGAAAGCAAAATTTATGTGTTTGGTAAAAAAGTTGGCTGATAAACCTGATAAGCCAAAAATGAGGGTTGCCAAACGGCCTCTAAATGTGGAAGTGGTATAATAGTCATGAAACTAAAAGTGGAATTTTTTCAACTTTTATTTGTAGTATGACTTTTATGCCTTTCTAGTTGTAGGAAAAAGTCAAATAAAAGTTAAGAAGTGTACAAGCTCGGGTGTATTACTCCCTCCTTCCCATAAAATAGTTCTCACATTAAATTGGATTTAAGTTTTGAATAGAAAAATAGTGGCAAATTATACCGTACACCCGGATGTACGATCCTCGCCGTACATCCGGGTATTTTTGAAATTATTATCAACTTCTATGTCCGATGATTCAAGCTTCTGTTGCTTCTTTCATGGAGTTGGAGTCCGCTAGCGTGCCTGCCCTGTTCTCCGCTCGAAGGATGGCTTCAAATTGGGGAAAACGAAAAACTTACTCAAATTGGACGAAACCGGTGTCAAAAGCTTCGCCTCAGCAAGACGAGTCCAGAACAACTCTAAGAATTTGATTTAAACATGTCGTTTGGGAGATACGAACAAAAAACAGACTGCTCTGAACAGTGGTGGGCACAACTGCTCTTTGCTAACTCCGGCCAAACAGCACCTCCGGCCACCGGAAAAGGGTTGGGGAGGTGCGTCTAGAGGTGGCGACCCCACAGCACTCTTTGATTCCAACAACATCAGTCAAATTTTGGATTAAAGACCATAAAATCAAAACTGTGAATAGAAAATTGTTGCGCACAAATCTTTAGAAATCCGTCATTTTCCATCTTAAAACCCAAATCTTCCAAATCCAATCGGTGGAAAAGAAAGAGGAGGAAAATCCGAGCTAGGAGAAACAAGATTTAGGAAGAAAGATCGATCAAAAGAGCCAAAAGAAAATTTGTGTATTCATATGTCATATCAATGCACAAATGAAATTTGAACACATATTGAGCACAATAGAAATGAGTTTTATGTTAAATTCAAATAAATATAATGTCCAAATTGAATGAGCACACAAAAATGCGTTTTTAAATTTTTTGATACTCATTTCGTAAGTTATGCATGCTCATTTGGTAATAATGGTATACTCATTTAACAAAAAGCTTGATTTTCATCTCAATAAATGAAGTTTGGTGCTCAATGAACATATCGTTATGTTAAACTAACAAATCTTACGATTTTCATATCAATAAACATTTTATAAGTTACGTATACTCATTTGGTACTAATATTATGCTCATTTTAAAATGTTATATCAATGCATATTTTAAAAGTATCATATTGCATTAAATTCGCATATGGAAATTCATGAGTGTATTATAGATATAATTCAATTACTTTTTATAAAAGAAAAAATAAGTAAAAAATTGAATTAGAAGATATGAAGCAAATATCAGGATACTCATTGTTTGGCTCTAAATACTCAATAAAATAGGTCAAATGCTCACTACATGTACACTATTGCTCATTTAGAAAAAAATTAAAAAAAAATAGAAAAACAAAGTCGTTTTGAATGAAGGGTTAATACCGCAGAATCCGCCGTGTAGCTTCATCTCCATCGCCCATCAGCTCTACGCTCTTCGCAGAGGCGCCAGAGCCGCAGTCGCACTGACTGTAGTGTTCTTCTCCAACCCTCTTCAGGCTTTTGTTTTGTCTTCAAGGCTTCATGCATCTAATTGATTAATTGTGCTCCGCCACTGCTTGCAGAGTTGCAGGTTAGTAAGGGTGGCAGCGGGTCGGATTTATCCTGGGTGAAGGCTAATCCACGTCCACCCGTTAATTTTTCATATTTCACCCACCCGTCCATCATCCATTAAAAATTACATCCACATCCAATCCATCCATCATGAGCGGGTTATCGGGTGGATCGGGTGAGTAACGGGTGAATATGAATGATAACAAAAAAACTTGAAGACTTAAGTTTAAAATCATTAATTCATTGCCAATAAAAAATAAGTGATTGTCAAACAAAATAGACATAAAACTTTTTCAAGCTATCAAATTCTACATTTCCTCATTGGCAAAAAACTATTTTTGCACCAACTGTCACTTCTTGAAACTTTTCAATTGTCTTTATTTCACCAATTCATATATATGTGTCTTCTTCATTAACAAATACATATCTATTACTCTGTAATATATTAATATTAATTATGATATATATATATATATATATATATATATATATCATTATTAAATAGATATTACATATAATTTACGATATATATTAATTATGATATATATATATATATAATTAAATAGATATTACCAAACGGGCTCTTAAAGATGCAAGTTGGCGGGGAGGCTTTTGTTACAGAAGGGTTTAATATCTGGAAAAAAGGGGTTGAGAGGTTACGAGAACACATAGGGACGCCAGATAGTGTTCATGCCAGATGTGCTCAAAGTTGTCAAAATCTAATGAACCAAAACCAACACATTGAAGTGTGTATGGAAAAACAATCTGAGCAAATGAAGAAAGAGTACCTCGTATGTTTAAGTGCATCCATTGATTGTACTAGATTCTCACCCGTGACCCGCACGGGTAGCTCAGTTGGTCAAGTGGTGGGAAAATTGGACCAAGTGACCAAGGTTTGAAACCCACAGCGGCCGTGTGGAGGTTACAGAACCTAAAATAAGGCTGGACCTCTGGTGCGCACGTGTATAAGGTCTACATCCGCTTTGGGTCGAGGTGGGGGACCTTGGGGTTGGGCATTCAACCTTTTGGACCAAGATTCTCACCCGTGCGATGCACGGATGAATATTTATCAATGTGTGAATAAGAACTCTATTATAAAAGCGCATAAATAATTGAACCTAAATAAAGTGGTAAGTAATATAATAAATGTTCGTACTTAAAGAGAGATGAAAACATCGTTGAAGATGGGAAAATGTAAATATTATAAGAGTTGTAACATTTAAAAGTACAAAGTAGTATGTAAAATAATAAGTGTTCATAGATAAACTACAAATTTGAATGAGTTCTTTGTAAACAACATTAGTAGTATGATCGATCCGTTGATCATACTCATAACATATCAATATTTTCAACCCATTTTAGTACTCTTGTTCATACTTTAGCAAACGAATAACACTCTTAAATGAAAATTTAACAAATAGTTAT